AATCTATAATCCACTCCTTACTAGAATTGCTGCTTGAAACCAGCAGAACAACAAATAATTTATAATCATCTTGTACAATAGTTGCATTACCATTATCCTTTTCATAATGATTATTCATACATTCAAGGCACATCTTTCTTAAATGAATCTCCTTCTTACAATGAAAACACCTAATAGCCTCTAAGTAAGTGGTAACTTGGACCTACACGTGAAGAAATACATTTTTAGAATCTATGATTCAAGTGAAGTTTGTGATAAGTCTTAATTCGCTTATGAAAATTGACGTCATTGGTAAAATATAAATTGAGTCAACGAAAGAAGAATGATAATGATCTGATATACGATTCAATTATAAATCATCTTCATATAGGTAAGGTGTGATGAGAACAATGACTAGGGGAGAATAATTACAATTGAGCCCCTAGTTGTTGGGGATTTGCTTGTTAGATTAATGGAGACATAAAAAGTGAATTCCTAAGTGACTCGAGGAAGCATCTATAATGTTAGGAGCTACAACACAACCATTATAAGATCAAGCATCGTATTGATTCATACATTTAACACTTCAAGAAAAAGACTCGTTTCAAAGGATTATAACAAACTTAAGAGCTTCGCTTAATTTGAAACATTTTTCAATATGGAAAACTCATTATAACTCTAATAATTATTGCCTTAGCATGTATTTATATATTTATAAGTGAAATTTATATCCTTGAAACCAAACATGTCATCCTTCATGAAAATCTGTAAGAGAGTGAGTATTCTAGCTAGGAATTATCTCCATGAGGTCAAAGTCATGAAGACAACAAATATTTTTAAATTAAGGAACTAGAAACAATCAAATATTTCTTTTTTTCTTGAAGTATATTTTATTTTGCCAACAAAAATATTACATTGATTTTCGAGTTTATTCTAGATTACTAGCTTTCAAACTAGGAAATGCATTATTTGATCATTCTCTTTAGTTATATCATGATAACAAAAAATTATATGATGATATTTCTCCTACATTCGACTCAATGAATATTCTACCTTTCTACCGCACATTCTGATATAATTTCCGTTTTTTAAAAGTTAAGTCAATTTATCTTAAATCTCATTGTTGATTATGTTAATGCATATTGTCGAGTCATGCATCACTTCAAGATTTTTCCTAGTCATGGATTGGTATTTTCACAACATTCCACACATAAATTTTTGGATTTCTCTTATACTAATTTAGTTATATATTTAGATTTTCAAATATCTATCTTTAGTATTTTTTTTTTCTAGGTCTATTCTTCATTTTATGGAGGAAAAAAAAACAAAGGTGTTTGGATCATCTTTTGGATCAAAATTTAAGGTCTTTGTTGATGCTTCTTATGAGCTTCAATGAATTTTCTATTTACTTCGAAATTTACAAATTCAATATACCCGAACACTATCTTTGTACTAGGAAAATTATAATACAATTCACATTACAATTAATAACATATTTCTCAAGAGGACTAAACGCCTTGAAATAATAACCACTTATTTTGAGATAAATTTAAAGCATGAATTATGTGACTTCTTCCCATTTCCCCTCATGATTGACTTGCAAACTCTTTTATACCGAAATATTATTGCAAAAACCCTTTACCATTTTAGCATCCAAATTAGGCACAATAAATATTTATTAAGCTTGAACTTGTGGTGGACTATTACAAACTACTAATGATCAAGCAACTACCAATACCATCCTTTCCATGATATTAAGCTGGTAGTTAAAATATAGTTGAAATTATATTTTCAATTACATATACATTATTATACTATAGATTTTAGATTAGTAAAAGTTGTTCTTTTACTTTTCGCTTCTAAACACACTTTAGTTTTGAAAGATATAATTTATGTACCTTCTATGAGTATGAATTTTATTTATGTTTCACCAAGGGATATATGTGAATCATTTCTGATTTTAGTAATGAAAATTTGTTAGGTTTCTTTTAATGTTGTTGGTTATGGAATTTTGTGTTTCAGATTTTATATGTTGAATATAGATGAAATGTTTGTAAAATTATGTTGTTTGGTCTAAGTATGATAGGAATGATGAAATTTCTTATATATTATGATATATATGATTGGGTCACATTTTTAGGACAGATCAAAAGACTAATTAAAGAACATATTTCTTATAATCAAAGAAATATTGGTTTCAAATAATAATAGCATAGTGCACTTGATTCACACTGATATGTATTTTTCTAAAAAAGATACTTCTATCGACAGATATATGTATTTTATCATTTTTATAGTTGATTTATTTAGATTTGGTTGGATATATTTTTTAAAAGATAAGTGCACTTTTTCAAATGCATTAATCTCCTTTAAAGTTTTTCTTAAGAAAAATAAAAATAGGAAAGAAGGTTAAACGTGTGAGGTTTGACCCGAAAGCAAAATATTTTAGTATATACGATGAAACGAAAGTTTTACCTCATACCCCTACACTTATACCTATACCCCTATATTAAAAAATTTTGGACCAAAATATCCTCGTATAAAAATTTATTATTTTTTAATTTTTTTTATATTTTTTTATTTGTTTACCGGAAGACTTTTTGAAAGTCTTCCGGTTCACATTTTTTAGTATGTTTACCGGAAGACTTTTTGGAAGTCTTCCGGTACATATTTTTTTCGTTTGTTTACCGGAAGACTTTTTGAAAGTCTTCCGGTTCATGTTTTTTTTTAATTTGTAATTAATATTTAAGATTTATTAATTTTATATAAAGACCAATTTAGCAAATTTTTGAATATTATACTTAAAATATAAAAATTTTATAAATAGAGAATCATTTTCAGAATATTTTCTATTTACTATAATTATTAGAATACTAGGATTAAAATCATTTATTTTAAATAATCATAGTAGAATTTTCTCAAATATCTTATTAATCTTAAACATTAATAAATAAAATAAATTTAAATATAAGATATAAGTTTACATTATTCAATATATTTAATCAAATTAAAACATATGTGATAAATAAATAATGTATTTTAACTTAAAATGATCACAATAAGTTAACTTGCAAAATAATATAAGTAATAAATTAATAATATATTTTATTTAAAATAATCACAATAATAAAATACGCAAATAATGTGTTTTATTTATAGGACTGATATAGTTTTATTGATTATTTAATTTTGAATACTACTATGAATATAGTATTTAATCTATACTTTAGAACTCACATAATTATAAATACAAAAAATATTGTTTTATTACCCATATTTTTATTTAATTAAAAAAATAAGAATATAAATTTATTATTTGTTTTTCATTTTTGTTTGATCTTTTTAATTATTTCACTTTATTTAATATTTTTAATAAAATAAATAATATATTTTATTTAAAGTAAGCACAGTATAGAATATGCAAAAAATTTATAAATAAAAAAAAGATCAAACGAAAATGAAAAACAAATAATAAATATATATTCTTATTTTTTTTAATTAAATAAAAATATGGGTAATAAAACAATATTTTTTATATTTATAATTATGTGAGTTCTAAAGTATAGATTAAATACTATATTCATAGTAGTATTTAAAATTAAATAATCAATAAAACTATATCAGTCCTATAAATAAAACACATTATTTGCGTATTCTATTATTGTGATTATTTTAAATAAAATACATTATTAATTTATTACTTATATTATTTTGCAAGTTAACTTATTGTGATCATTTTAAGTTAAAATACATTATTTATTTATCACATATGTTTTCATTTGATTAAATATATTGAATAATGTAAACTTATATCCTATATTTAAATTTATTTTATTTATTAATGTTTAAGATTAATAAGATATTTGAGAAAATTTTACTATTATGATCATTTAAAATAAATGATTTTAATCTCATTGTATTCTAATAATTATAGCAAATAGAAAATATTCTGAAAATAATTCTCTATTTATAGAATTTTTATATTTTAAGTATAATATTCAAAAATTCACTAAATTGGTCTTTATATAAAGTTAATAAATTTTAAATATTAATTACAAATTAAAAAAAAATATGAACCGGAAGACTTCCAAAAAGTCTTCCGGTAAACAAACGAAAAAATATGAACCGGAAGACTTCCAAAAAGTGTTCCGGTAAACATACGAAAAAAAATGTGAACCGGAAGACTTCCAAAAAGTCTTCCGGTAAACAAATAAAAAAATATAAAAAAATTAAAAAATAATAAATTTTTATACGATGATATTTTGGTCCAAAAATTTTTAATGTAGGGGTATAGGTACAAGTGTAGGGGTATGAGGTAAAACTTTCTGATGAAACTCGTAGAAATTTAGGGTTGTTTTCCAAAATTTTATATGAAAGTAATATTGGGACTCAAAACATTATTCTAAAAACTCCTTAGCACATAATTTCACACTTATTAACATGGTAAGGTGTATGTCAAGTTATTATACATTTCCTTACTTTCTTTAGGGAGATTCTTTAAAGAGTATTATCTAAGTACTTGATAAAGTGCTTAATTAAAAGTATGTGCCGAACATCTTCAACCGCGAACCTATTTTTGAGTTTTTTGTAGGACCTATTAAGTCACGTCAGCTTGAAGCAATTTAACTAATTTTTCACTCCAATAGTGCAACTCTGAATAACTCATATTGGGTCTCACAACTTTACTTTATATATTAATATTTTATTCATATTAAATTTTATATCACTTAAAATAATAATTTTAATTTTTTACAGAAAATTATTCCAGTCTACTATATAGCCCAACGGGTATATAGTGTTGTTTTAAGGAAAAATATTTCATTCTACTATATAAACTTAAAAAAAATTAGATTAAACTCTAAAAAAACATTCAATCTCTCAGTTAATTTTAGTGTTTTAAATTAAATTTGATATAAAAAAAATTAAACTTATAATTTAAAATGATAATTAAAATTAATCTCAAATACATGACATATAATTAAAAACAATAAAAATAAATAATATCACATAATTAATCAAACTTAAATTTCATCATCTTCATGTCCAAAACGTTCCCAAATATATTCGACTAGATCTCCTTGAAGTTTACGATGAACTTGTTTTTCTTGAATACTTGCTCTTCTTTGTAGTCTTGTTGCAAGATTCAGATGAGGACCGCTAGATGTTTCAGTTGTTGAGTTATTGATATCCACATTATCATAAGAGTAATCAAAATTACCTCCATATGTATGTCGTTCGTCTTCCACAATCATGTTGTGCAATATGATGCAGGCATATATGGTATGCTTGAGAGTGTCCATGTGTCAGGCACGCGCTGGGCCACATATAATTGCAAATCGAGATTGAAGCACTCCAAATGCTCGCTCCACATCTTTTCTAGCCGATTCTTAATGTTGAGCAAATAATTTTATCTTTTCTCCCTGTGGCATTGAAATAGTCTTGACAAATGTAGCCCACTCGGGATATATACCATCTGCTAAATAATACCCCATATTATATGGTGTCCCATTGATTGTATATTGCACATTGGGAGCAAGTCCTTCCAAAATATCGTTAAACATGTTGGATTGGTTTAACACATTAATGTCATTGTTTGAACCTGCAATACCAAAAAAAGCATGCCAAATCCATAAGTCTTGTGATGCCACTGCTTCAAGCATGATTGTGGGCTTACCATGATCACCTCGACAAAATTGTCCTTTCCATGCAACAGGACAATTTTTCCATACCCAATGCATACAATCGATGGAACCCAACATACCTGGAAAGCCACGTGACTCTCCCATTTGTAAAAGATGTTAAACATCAGTGTTGTTAGGCTTTCTCAAATACTCAGCGCCAAATACAACATTGGCACCCTTAACAAATCTTTCTAAGCACTCAATTGAAGTACTTTCACCGATTCGAACATATTCATCTACAAGGTCAGCAGGAGACCCATACGCCAACATACGAATAACAGATGTACATTTCTGCAATGGTGAAAGACCCATTTTACCTGTTGCATCGACCCTCATTTTGAAATATTCATCATGATTTCCAAGGGAATCTACAATTCGAATAAATACATACCTATGCATTTTGAACCTTCTTCAGAATTGAACATTTGTGTATACTGGGTTTTTCGAGAAGTAGTCATTGAATAATCGATTGTGCCCTTCTTCACAACCTCGATCTACCGTTGTTCTTCTCTTTGGCCTAGAGGAACTTCCAAATCGACGTTCATTTTGAAGTTGTTGTTCTTCATCATTGTTGTCCATAAATTCTTCTTCAACCAACTCCCAAAATTCTTGATCGTAAGTATCTGAATTGTCTGAATCCATTTAGTGAGTAAAGAATAAGAGAAAAATGAGAAGAATAAGATGAGAATGAGAGAAAATGACATAAGTGGTAGTATATATAATGGTTTGTTTGAATAACGGCTAGTTTGAATAACGACTAGTTTAAATTAAAGTGGTAGTTTGAATAACGGCTAATGACCATTTTACATAGGTGTTGATAAATTAAAGTGGTACTAATAACCATTTTACATAGGTGTTGATAAATTAAAGTGGTACTAATGACCATTTTACATAAGTGATACTAACTACATTCCATATTTTTTTTCATCTTATTACAATATTTTTCATGAATATCTCGTTGACTATCGTTCATAGTAGAAGTGTCTTTCATCATCATTTGCACTACCCTTTATTCTAGCTCGTCCTCCTTAGCTTGCGCAAGTCTGTCCATTGTTATTGCTCTTTTATTCTTTGCATCTTGCGTTGCATTTGGAATTTCTGATGCCTTACCCTTCCTTTTTGCTGCTTTTTGTCCCATTGGACGCTCCATTGGTGATGATGAGTTAAACTCATAACTTGAAGTTGTATCTGGGTTCTCCGATGATGCCCCACTAGCATAAGTCTTTGTTATTTTTGCAGAACTTCCAATCGATTCTTCGACGATGCACCATTTAACTTCATCTTTTAACAATCGCCATGCATACTCAAGATTGAATGTTGTACCTTGATCCTGAGCAAAAATAGCATGTGCATCTGCCATGACATCGGTCTCGGATGTCCCACTTTTCTTTCCTTTAAGAGCAATTTTGTAACACCCAACAAATTTTTGAATCATGCCATTTATTCTATGCCATCGATATTTTAACTGTCCCCCTAACTTTTCCCGCAATTGCCCACGATATTGGTTATAACTAGCAGCAATTCTTAACCAAAAACTCTCAGCCTTTTGATCAACTCCCACAATTGGATCCTTTGAAACATTGAGCCATGATTGGATAAGTAGTATATCCTCTTCCCTTGTAAATTGCTCTCTAGATCTTTTTTTAATGACAACCCTTTCTTCCTTTTCAGTACCAACTTGAGTAGAAAATGGTGGGACTTGAGTAGAAAATGGTGGAACTTGAGTAGAGAATTCCATACTATTAGAATTCACTTGAGGTATAAGATATATATTTGGATTGTTTGGTGACAGAAGAAATATGGCGGGGTTTGTTGGCACCAATGGAATTTGAGAATTTTGAGGATTAGGATTTTGAGAATTTTGCATGTAATTGAAAAAAGCTTGTTGATAATGAAAATGATTAGGATCCATTTGGCCTAAACAATTGTAATTTGAAGTAAAAAGATGAAATTTTGAGTTAAATATTTTGTAAAAAAAATGCTAATGAGAAAAAATTGTTGAAAAAAATTAAAAGTATAGGAATAAAATGATGAAATTGTGAGAGAGAAATTTCAAATTGAAGAGAAAATAAAAGTGAGAAAAATTTGTGTTGGTAAATTTTTGAAAACCAAAATTATATTTATAATAAAAAATAAGTTTAAAAAAAATAAAACAAATAAATAAGTTGCCGTTGAAACGACTAGTTTTTATATTTATTATATTTTAATAAATTGAAAAGGCATTGATCGTTGCGTAATGAAGCAACGTCCGCCAACCTGAAATGTTTTTCACTATTATTTAATGCAAACAAAATGGACCAGCTGACGAACTACAATGAGAACCCAATGCTGGAGTTGGTCTTATGAGCTTAGAATGGATAGAAATCCAAACTTAAAATATTTTTTATCTGTGTTGTTCTAAAGTAAAAGTTATACCTTATTAAATTTTAATAAAATAAAATGATATAAATATTGTAAATGTATTATTTCTAAGATATAATGTGGGCTCTAAAAGTTGTAAATTTATTGCCATTCTCAAACTATGTAACTTTTTAAGGCTACCCAAAATTTTTTATTTAAGGATGACTTAGATAATGAAGTTTATATGCCAAGACAAATTATTCTTAAATAGGATTGTTCTTTAATTTTTTATACTAGTTCTTTATCTCCCCACAAAAATTGTGGTTCTAGTTATTAAGAACAATGATATTATTTTGTAAGGTGATTAAGTAGATCCACTGTAAAATGATGAATAAAAACATAAAGATGTTTCATGGCTCATTTTGTTACCTAACCAAGTGATTTGCTAAAGTAATTCAATTGAGATGATCTTAGAGAATACACAAATCGTCAATACCAAATGATTATTTTGTGTATCTTAAAAGGGTGTGTGTTTGGTATCTGTGAGATATTGGATCGAATTTTAGTATGGTCGAATGGTAGCTTCTAGTTCGACAGGAATTAAGCATGAGGTCGAAGTCTATTCGCATGCTGTTGTCGGAGTAAAGTATGTTGTAGTCGAAATGTGTTCTAACATGCATTAGCCAATATTTCTAAGTTTGTTAGCATGTTGAATTGGGCCTTACTTGTAAACCCAATTGCTTAAGTTAGCTTGTAATGGGTAATTGTTAAAAAGGCCATTAGGTTAGTGTGCTAATTTTCTTATAAATAGCATGCTAGTCTCTCATCTTGGCATAAGGAAAAATAGGAAGATAAAATCCTAATTTAAAGTGAGAGAGGTTATTTTTGTTATTCTTGTATACTCGTAATCTTATTTGATAGATAAAGGAAAGAATAACAGTTTTGTAATCAATCCTTGTTGTTTTACCTTGTTTTCTTTGTTAACCCTAACCCTTGTGTGTTTCTTGATCATAAAGAAATCATTTATATTTTGTTTAAAGGCATAAGATTCACAACAATATCCCTATTATAACATCCCACATTCTTCTATTCTAATAAAATCTGTATCATGTTGTATATTTAATCGAGAAATTATTCCCAATGGATTTAGGGTGTTTAGTGTATTGAGAACCAGAGATGTGTTGAAGACTGTGGAATTAGAAGATTGAGGAGTAAGATAGACATTTTACCCTAAAAGAATATTTTAGTCTATTAAAAAATGTTTATGGAAATTCGAGTCAAGTCAATACTAATTAGGGTTTAAAGAAATATGCCTTATACCTTTAGTTGTAATTAGAAATCAATGATGGATTATGGATTAATTACTTGAGTTGAGGTATTATGTAACTTTGTGTCATTAAAAGAAGAACATTTTGGTAATTTCATGATATAACATGTCACCTAAAGATAAATCAAGATTTATTGAAGTTTAGGAAAGGTAATCAAGTCCAAAAGTTACTATTAGGATAAAAAGATATTTTAGAAATTTGATTTAAGATGAAGGGTGTAATAGATATTTTACATTCTTTTAATGAATGAAAATACAGTCTTTTTCTAGAATCATATATAAGTAAGGTTTTGAAAGAAATCATATTTATTCTTCTTTTCTGCTTCATCATCATCATTCCACCACTTGGAATAGAGAGTGAAACCATGGAAGATGAGCTTTTATGTGAGCTTCCCTATCTTGCATGCAATGTTTATCACCATAACCATAATATCATATATAAATCAATGACAAATTAGGAGGATCAAACATAGAAGGAGTGTTGTTCCTTTTGGATTGGTTACATTATGCAAAACAATTTGATGTGTACAAGATGCTTTGGCAAAGAAAGGACACATGTGGGATATAATATTCCACCGGGTGTGGCATATCTAGCTCTTACTGCAGTTCAAGCTTTGGTGCATTTTTTTGTGATTTCTGAGTGCGCTTTTGGATTTGTGTGTGATTGATTTGTTGCTATCTTTCAACAATCTAATTAGTTAGATTTGTTTGATAATTTAATAAGATTAAATTTAAATTATGAAGATTTAAATTTGAATTCAAATCAAATCAAATCTTTTAATGGAGATGTTTTGAAAAAAGATCTTAACCAAATCTTCACCATATCTGGTGATTAAAATTAAGACGGCCACTGGAGAAAACCAACTATAGATTGCAATTTAAAGAGACTCATTCTAACATTGAAGACAACGAGCTTGATTGAAGGTTCTCTGTGTTAGGGTTTTATTTGAGT